AGTCGAAAACCTGCTAAATCAGCAGTGTATCAAATACTTGTTCTCCCCACTGTAAGTATACACTGACCAATGCAGACTATTTTAAAATGTCAGATAGGAGCCCTTTAATCCAGGTCACTGATTTGAAAAGCCCAACAACACATATATTTGCTTTGAGTTTTCATTTCACATGTTATCAGGGGAGCGCGAACGCAGTCCCCACTACCAGAAATTATGCAGTCGAGATTCCCACATTTGGGGAATTCGCAGAGGTCAGCTCAACCAGAGTGCAATGGCTAAGCCTCACCCTGGGTGAACCACCTTCTTGATCATGGTATCTCCCCTGCCAGGTAAGTATGAGTTGTACAGATCAGAGACGAGGGGGTCTTTCACAGACATACCATGCAGACTGAGGGTGCTGACCTTCTGTAAATTACCAAAACCAGAGGCTATTGGTTGTGCGAATCTGCAGTACTTTAATACAGAAGAAACATTTCTGTATTAAGGCTGAAAGAGATTATTTACATTTTACTTGACAAATAATGGCTACATTTCCCAGCATGCAATGTGTATTTCCACATCTAAAGCTAACCTAAAATCACCAGTTGTATCTATTTACCGCCAACAAATGAGTCCAGCCCAACAGCATATACATATATACATATATATTACTATTTATTAGTCCTTTTGGAAATTAGACCAACAACCAGACAACTGCACACAAACATCACCCGAGTTATACTAAGGTGCAGCCCCGACACCCAATTAGCTCATGACTGTGACGTTACCACCCAAACTCATGGCCAACCAGGCAGAGAACAACACACACACGCGTATACATTTCAGCTGAGGATTGCAGCTCACTTTTGATAGCCTTCAACTCAACAATCATATATAATAATAAGTATTGCATCAACTGATCGGCACTTCTGATTGGCCTTATTAGAGACCACCAATCAGAAAACCCTAACTGAAATACCAAGTTGACACATGGAGGGATGGAACAAGCCCCTATCCTCTTCTTTGCATCTTGTCAATTTTATATTTATATTTTTGTTTTATTATGCACAAAGTCACTAAAGCAAATTCTTTGTATGTGTAAACCTAATTGGCAATAAAGCTAATTCTGATATCCATCAATAAATAGTTAAAATGAACGTCACTTTATTCAGCCATAATATTAAAATTCTGCTTACACCCAATGTATTAGGTGAGATATATATATTTTTACATAAAAGCTCTCCTTCTAAATAATGAGTCCAATTGGCTTATATTACTTGAATACACTTATGAATGCAAAACTTAATTGCGATGGGTATGTTGTAATATATTACTACATTAACTTGGATAAACAACTGAATTGCACTGCCTTGAACAACCATTGCACCAAATGTGACCTGAACAGCAAACTATTAAGCTGATTTTATTTGTGAACACAGAGTGGGGGTGCACCGGTCCTGGAGATACTGCAATACCAGGTCGATGCGTGGAGTGGACGGAGCAAGCCCCTATTCCATCTCCCTGCTCCAAAAATCAATTTAATATATGGTCCCCGGTAGGGGACGTATCAGATATTAAACTGATAAGAACAGATACTACACTTGATCTTAGCCAAAAGGCCGAGAAGCGATACTGAGAAAAGGTCAGGGATAAGGAGGTGATTCCTCGCACCGGGACTCTCACTGACGGTTTTCAGTTTCTGTTTCAGTTTTAACTCCACACAATAAGACCAAAAATAAAGTACACGATAAGCAGACAAGTAAAAGAATTATTAAAAAAAAGCTAATAAAAGCAGTAAAATACGTAATTTTAACAAAATAAGGTTGGTGCATGTGCAGTTCCACAACACTTCCTGGTCATGTGACACAATCTGGTCCAATAGGAGTTTAAAACATGAGAACTCTGTTATTTACCGTCAGAAATAGAGCTGTAACTTGTATATTAAACAAAAATGAATGTCATCTGAAGCATAAATGTGAAAAGAAACTTTAAGAATATAAAAGTCTTCTGAGGGAAGAAAATGTGTTTTATGTTTACTGACAACTACAAACTGATCTCCAGCGCACTCTGGTGGAGAATAGTGAAAACTACACTCTTCATGCAACTGCAGAATTTGTGCTTAACAGTTTACACAGACAACAATTTATAAAATATATATTTGATTTTAAAACAGGTATTTACAAAAGGGCAAATAGTAAATAAAGCTCACAGTCAGTTAAGACGGGACTTCTAGACCCAACATCAAGTCTCTAAGGAAGGTGACTTTCAGAATCTGAATCAGAAATACTTTACTGACCCCTGAGGGAAAATTTCTTTGTTACAATTGCTCACTTGCATATGAAGATTTATTTGTGTATGTATATTCGTTGTACACATGAAAATAAAGTCTATTCTATTACAATTTACAGAAACACTTGATTTTAGACAACGTTGTTGTTGTTCATTGTAGCTTTTTCAATGTGTCACGTTTATGTAAACATTATATAAGCTGGTGTACACCATGATGTACACATTATTTTTTTCCACCTACTTGTTTGCAGTTAAAGGTAAGTATGAGTTGTGCACATCAGAAACGTGGGAGTCTTTCACAAACATACAATGGGGACTGATGGTGCTTTTACCTCATAACATACAGTGAAGTGAGGAAACATAAAGTACTTTAAGCACATCTATTTAAACGGTCTATAATCTTTTGTTTTGGAATGAGGTCGAAAAATTGGACACCTTCAGTTTATTTCCTTGTTCCCTTTATGCAGAAACTACCGCTTTTTAAAACGACTATACATCCCGTAATTGGGCTATGTGAAAACAAAGATTCGGCTAATGAAAAAAATAAATCTGATAACCACAATTAGATTGTCTTTAACATTTTGTATCACGAAAACTTTTCCGTTTCCACACAGACGCGGATTATGTAAATGCGCATGCGGAAAATGCAGAAACGGTAAAAGGAGTTATGTATTTATTTATTTATTTTGGCTAATTTAATTGACGTTTCACTGACTGTTTAGTCGTGTTTCACTAAAAAAAATAAGTAAGTCAATTAAAACAGTGAAATATTATTACATTTACATTCCCCGAGTTGCCAGCTGTGGTCAAATGTTCAGCTATTATCAGATCCACTAAAATCCAGTCTGTGGGCTACTCATAGGCTACTTCTTCTTGTTATTTGCATAATACAACAAATTAAATACAGTTTGTCTGCTTGCCACTGTGTGTCCTCCTCATCCCACAAAACTCAGGAGAGACTCTTTACTTTTTATTTTAAACTATGAAATGAGGTTGTTAAGTAAACTCGACATTTTAACACTCAACACGTTTTATTCACATGCAGAATGAAATAAACAAAATATTTATAAGAACACCTAAATTATCAAGTAAATTATCTTACTTAAAGCCGCTGTTTGTCCTCAAACGTTGAGCAACAAACAAGGTGATTGATTGATGTGATTTCTCCAGGTCCGAGGCCCCTGTGATGCCAGTGGGCAGGAATCAACTCACGTTTCTCTGCAGAGCCTCTAAACGTGTGAACCAGGTAGTTGAAAACCATGTGCAATAAAGTTCCTATTAAAAATAAACTTTATTTATATAGCACCTCTCAAAAACACAAAGTGCTTCATATTAAAACAGAGTACATTTCAAACAGAGAGAGAATAAAACAAACTTAAAGCCATGTAAAACACAGTGACAGTGCAAAATGATGACTGACTGTTCTTCAGTGCATTGATTTACTGTTTTTGTTCTATATCAACCACAAAATTAGCTTTAATCGGGACACCAAAACTTAGATATTTACATGGTATTGTAAGTTTAATCCTTTAAAGCTCAGCTACAGTAAAGCTAAAGCTACAGTGATACTGTGACACTGGAAAATATAGGTATAACTTTAAAACCCAATTCACAGTAAGTAGCTCCCATACATTTCAAATGTAGGACACGTGGTTGTGAAGTTATTACCAGTTAAGTATGTTGCAATGCTTTAGTGATCTGGACTGTATTTTGCACTTCTGTAAGAATTTAGACAGTTTTGCACACTAAAACTCAAAGATTGGGCTCTTTGTGAGAATCTGAACCGCTGTGAGTATGTTGACACACATTTAACTCTTAACTCTCAATATTAACTGTACAAAAACAGATTTTATAGAAGAATACAAATATAAACAAGGTTACAAGGTTGTTTATTTATCATAATAGTGAAACAACTATTATACACAGACATCAAGCAAAACCCAGATTAGCAAACATAAAGACGTAGTTATTGGACAACAAACTGTATCTAGCTACAGATCAGATTGTGACCATACTTCAAGGTGCAATACTACAAGAGTGCATGAATACTACAGTACTTATAAATGTAATACTGTCACACATGACCTGAACAAAAACATTAATATCATAGAGAGGAGATGCTTTTTAGCTACTTTACATCATGCAATTCCTGGGCAGGTACACACTACTACTAATTCATACAAATACAAGTAAAAATATGAAATGCAATTATAAAAACTCATAAATTTAATCCTATAGCCAAGCCTATGCAATATAAATAATAATTCCAACTTACCCCAGCTGATTAAAAGAGTCAAACTATCAGAAAACAACAGTTAAAGTGTGAACAGACGAGGCTACAGCTGCTCTACGGGCTGTTTTGAGTACACAGACAAGAGATAAAGTAAACTAGTACATGTCATAGATGCTACCACCCACAAAAACCACATCAATACTGCATGTTATGTTGTAAAAAAAAAAAAGCAGAACAGAAAACAAGAAAACAAAGTGTGCTGTGTCCATATAAAGAATAAATATAAGTGGTTAATTACTCTACATAAAATGTTTTCATATCTAAATTCAGTATTGTTACATAAACCAGGGTATAAGCACAGTATTTAAAAGTTATTAACAAAATATTGACCTCAAAAGACACGAGCATAACTTTATACAGCACATAATGCAGCGCCTTTTTATCGAGCAGTGAATATGAGCCCAGTCGGCCACCGTACCAGGCTAAAACTAGCTAAGGAGGAGTCATGAAAGTTTCTTTGTTATTGGACACTATTACATTTGTTTGGCTGCAACCTGCGTCTTAACCTTTGGTACACACAGCAGGACTGTATATCGGCTGCTTTTTGTGTGCAAGCAGGTAACTTTACCACCAAAGACTTTCGGTAAGACAGCTGTTAATAACTAGTTAGCTTCAGTAACGTTGGTTAGCAGCACGCTGAGCTGCACAGACAGAAGGAAGCAGGTGAAGTTCATTAATCTCCGTTCATTATCAAATAATCTGGATTTCGACACGTTCACGTGGAGATGTTGTCAGCCGTTGTCCGGTCAGCCGTCTCGAAATGTAAGTGAGCGTGTTTTGTGTTTGTTTGCGGCTGTTTGTTACTATTATATAAAATGCATTGAATTTAAATGTGCACCTCGTGTTAATTATCACGTTTTCCATGGTGTATCAGCTCGTGCTAGTTCGTAGATGAATACTTATTTAACTGATGTAAACAACAGCTCTGAAGTGCCATGTAGGTGAAAGGTCACCAGTGGGAGCATCGCATGCAACATGCAGGGTTGTATTAAGCTCATCTGTTGATATATTGTTTTATTATACTTTACACTTGCTGGAGATAAAACTGATTTCATTTACAATTTAACTTATTTATTTATTAATTAATTAAGTCCATCCAATGTGAGAAAATAGTGAAAAAAGCACAACTTCCAAAAGCTCAAGGTTATGTTATTAAACAGTTGTTTCTTGTACATAATGACTTATCAAACTCGTTGCCATTTAATTTTATTTGGAGCGATTTGTTTCAGCTCTACTTTCCTCCACTTGTAAAAGCAGACCTTGTGCTTGACAAATATATTACAATGCAATGCTACTTGGCTTGGCACCGCTGCGTGAGGTCCTACTGCCTCTGGGACTTAACATAGATTTAGTGAATTAAAATTATCTGTATTTTCAGATTTTGGTTTTAGGATATTCTTGTTTTTATTGTAGTGCAGTGTAAAATAACAATTAAAATTACAATGATAATTATTGCAATAAAATTTTCCTCCAAAAAAATATAACAAATATTCATTAAATGTTTGACTTCATTCTTTTGATTCACAAACAAATTAGCACTTATTTTTCTATTAAGATATTTACTTTGAGGAAAAGGGACTGAAAATAGATTGTGCTTAATTTTACTTGTGCATTTTTGTTGAAAAAAGATTTATCATAATTGTTTTAAATGTTCTGACATAGACTTGTTTAGTGATCCACTGTTTGGTATCAAGTGTTTATTCTTACCATAAAGAAAAATTTAAAACCACAAATAAGCATTTGGTTTCACTCAGGAGCAGAAATCAGCCTTTTAACTTTAAGAAATATTGATTTGACATTTATCCTGATAACTATTGATATATGAAACTTCTTATTGTGATAACATTTTTGACCACATCTCCCAGCCCTTCCACAAAATTGTGAAAAACATCCATCACTTGTTTTGAGCCAAGGTGACTTCTTAAATGTCTTATTTTGTCAAACTAACAGTTCAACCCCCCAAAAAGGTCAATAATCAAATCATAAAATATTCTTCTGCCCTGAGCTTTAGCAGTTCTCTGCTCTTCTCTTCTAAATCTACGTAACTTCTTATCGTTAAAATCTCTTCCTGCTGGATAACTCATTCTGTTTGTTTTATTTATTATTTTTTCTGTTTCTCTTCTGCCAGACAGCGGGTTGTGGCTGCCCAGTCAGGCTCTTGTCAGGGCCATGTCGTCGTCGCCGTCTTCAGGTGGTCCCGTCCCTCCTTACACCACCCTGGCCATCACTCACCCAGCGGAGTCCGTCACACACGTAGAGCTTCACCGTCCTGAGAAACGCAACGCCATGAACAAAGCCTTCTGGAGGCAAGAATCTCTCTTAAAACAAATGAACATGGCTGTTATTTTTTTAATTAAGTGCTGTCTGTCTTAAACAAATCCCTTTGGGGAATGTTACTAAGTTAAGCTGCTGAATAATCATTATGTGTTAGGGATGGGTGTCGACACTGACCTCCCAAAAAGTTTTGCTTATTGAAGATTCAGTTACATCACATAAAATATCCATAAATGTGAAAGCTCCTCCTTAGAATTTATTTCAGGAACTTAGTGCTTTTACAAGGGCAGAAAATACAACACACAAAAATTAAAACAAGAAAAACAATATAAAGGAGTTTGTTTATAAGAAGGGGCCCTGATTTCCTCGGGCAGGCTGTTCCAGAGCCTCGGGGCCCTGACTGCAAACACTCTGTCCCCTTTAGCTTTAAGTCGGGCCTCTGGGACAGACGGCAGACCTCTGCCCGAGGATCTCAAGGGGCTGGTGGAGACAGTACAAAAAGGTCTGAGAGATAACCGGGAGAGAGGCCATAAAACATGTAGGATCCCCTGATGTAGTAATGAAGCAAAAACAGGAGTCATGTGATCCGGTTTCTTGTTCTGGTTAAAAACCTGGCAGCTGAGTTTTGTCCAGTCTGAAGGCAGTCATTGGATTTTTGTTGACGATAGTCTCTGTATTTAAAAAAATCCCTTTGAGCAATGTTACTCAGTTAAATTGCCATAAATAATCATTACGTGTTGGCACTGATCTCCCAAAAAGTTCAGATCAGATTAATATCCATATTCCATAAATGTTAAAGCACCTCTTAAAAGTTATATTCAGATTTGCAAATTTATTATTGTATTGCATATTTTAAAGAGCAACTAGCCTACGGATTTCTTTGAAAACAGTTATCCATCCTAAAGCACATCCTAAAGAAATTACAAGAAACATTTTAAAATAATTAATATTAAACTCATGTTAAAAAGTAAACCACTCATACTAGTCTTTATTTATTTAACAGTTTACCCAACACTGACCGGAGCTTTTGTTTTGTTGTTCTCTCAGTGAGATGGTGGATTGCTTTAATGAGATAGCTGAAGACCCAGACTGCAGAGTGGTGGTGGTTTCTGGAGCAGGGCGGCTCTTTACAGCCGGTGGGTATCGAGCTGTTTTAGTGACACTGTCTTCGTAGTAAATTTGTACTTATTCTCTGTGCTGTGTTACCGCCCAGGTATTGACCTGATGGACATGGCCAGCGAGGTACTCCAACCAGAGGGCGACGACACGGCCAGGATTTCCTGGAACATCAGAAAAATGATTGCTAAATATCAAGAGGCGTTCTCCGTCATAGAGAAGGTGAAGAGGGCTTCTGTTTATCACTCTGAGGAATTACAAGATTTGATTTTTGAATTTGGACGGCGTTGACCATGTTGGGTTGTCAGTGTATTTTCCTGTCATCCTATTGATTATTATTTTCGTCTTGTAGTGTCCAAAGCCTGTTGTGGTGGCCGTCCATGGAGCCTGTATTGGGGGAGGTAAGGCGTCATCATCACGTTATTATACTGCAACTAATAATAAGTTAGATTTTAAATTAAATAATAATAAGTTATTTGTATAGCACATTTAAATACAGGTAACGACTGCTTTATAGTCAGAGAGCTAAAAATCCTCATTCTTATTATTTATTACTATTTTACTTTAGACCGTGGTTTACAATAATTAATATAAGGCCCACTGTCCTCAGACTTTGAAAACCCCTGGCCTTGACAATAATTCCCACACTTAATCTTACTATTAATATTTGAATATCATTCATGTTAATGCAGCTTCTGTCCTAGTTTTGTGTAACGCAGTATCATATGAAACAATCCCCTCTTGAATCTGATATTACCTGTGATTTACAACTCTGCCTCATTGCTGGATTGGAAAATCCAAATTAACTGAGCCAGTTGATAATCAGCTTCAGGATACAACGATGGCCAGAAACAGCCAGACTGAGCCTAACTTGCTTTGTGAAACAGGCCCCAAGCCATCAGTTTAGATAAGTCAGTGTTCTGAAAATGGTACAATTACCTGCTATTGCAAAGATTGACCTGACTGGAGGTTGTGTACTTTTAAACGGGCAGAGAAAAGAAAAGTGAGTTTACACACTGTCATGTTAACTGTGGATGCTGTGCTCTGTGGCAGGTGTTGACCTGGTCACAGCCTGTGACATCCGCCTGTGTACCCAGGACGCATGGTTCCAGGTAAAGGTATGTACACGCCCATCTAAATTTAAAAACAAGAAATGTGAAATGTTAAAATGAAGTTTAAATGACTTGTATTCCCTGAATGACGGTAAAAGTATACTTCAAATTTATTTTTACACTTCATTGTAATTATTCAACTAACAATATTTTTAAGCGTGCAGGGAGACATTATGGTTGCGGGTTGTCCATCCATCAGATTCTCGTAAATCTCAAAACTCCTTGAGGGAATTTCTTCAAATTTAGCACAATCATTGACTCAAGGATGAACTGATTAGAATTTGGTGGTCGAAGGTCAAGTGTGACCTCAACTCACAAAACACGTTTTTGGCTGTAACTCAGGAATTGATCACCATATTTCACAGCTTGTTGGGCACTAAATGGGTGAATGAATTGGGAGGTTTCAGATTTCACACACGTGTTGACTTGGACGACAGAATCAGTAAACGATAACTAGCACAGTTTGGTTTTCCTCTAGTCTGTTGTCGAGCGTCATCATGTGACTGTAAGCAGTGTATTGGAGTGCGCCTAGCTAATCGTGATCCTGTGAGTGAGTGAGTTTTACGCATCTATGATAACCCTTCATTAGTCAGTTCAACAATGTGAGGATGCTTTATTTATGCTGCATAACATTTATTGTCATCTTGACTGGCCCAAGCAAATATGTATGTGTTCTTTTTGTAGACTTTTCATCTACATTAAGTCCCATCAGACCCCATATTATGATGGAGAGACTATTGCAGTTAGGAGTAAATGGTGACATCATCAGATCGGTAGAGTCTTTTTTGACTGACCGAGTACAGTGTGTACTATTTCCCACTATTTAATAGGTGTTATTTATAAGAAAGGTTGCAGTGTCTATATTTTATGCCTAAACTGAGACTTTTTAATGTGGACAGAGAAATATATTTGGTCCTTTTGTGGAACGCATACTAACTTTTTGTTCCATTGCCTGGTATTTCACAGTGTCAGTGAATAATAAAAATAAACAGCATAAGATAGTTAATGTCCAGTAAAATAGCTGGGGTACAGCAAACTAGCATGACGACGAGCTGCGAGTCCCGATCGGCGAGGAAGGGGCAGGCGATTATTAGAGATGTATCACATCCCCTATTTGGCGAGTATGAGCTGTGACCATCAGGCAGAAGGTCTAAGGTGCCATCTCTCCGAACCAACCGGGCCCGCAGGTCATTTGTGTCTACTAGTATTAGATTTCTTAACAAACAATGAGGTAATAAAACAGAGCTGAATCTTGGGGTGTCGGTGAGCTGCACTTTAGCGTAACTTGCGCTGCACTCGGGGGGGATGTTTGTGTTGCCAGTGCAGTTGTCTGGTTGTTAGTTTGTTGATGTTGTTCATCTGACGTTTGCTGTATGACACAAAATGAATTTCCGCAAGGACTAAATCATAAAAAATAAAATAAAAAAATCTAAATTCACTGGAATCACATTATCAATAGTGATAACTTCCATTTAGCCTAAAAGTAAATTTTTTTCTTTTAGGAAGTATTCACTACATAGGGCGGCACGGTTGTGCAGTGGTTTAGGTTAGGGGGTTCAAACCTTGGTCGTCCCAAGCCTTTCTATTTGCATGTTCCCCCCCCTTGTCTGCCGGCTTCCTCCCACAGTCCAAAAAACATGCATGCTAGCTTAACTGGCAACTCTGATTTGTCCTTAGGTGTGAATGTGAGTGAGTGGTTGTTTGTGTCTGTGTGCCCTGCAATGGGCAGGCGAGTGTCCAGGGTTGACGGTTGACGATGGATGATATTCACTAGTTATGAATTGGCTCATAGTTCAGACAAAGAAGAAGGTGGAAGAACAGAGATGTGGTACAAACAAACAGTGAAAACTGTTTATTAAACTTCTTAGATAAACAAATCAATATTATGTGGAAATGAGTGAGATCAGTAACATAGGCGGATGCATGGATGAGTGAAAAATGAAACAAACAAAAGGTGACCTTGCAGGAGCTGAGAGAGCGAGGGGACGGAGCAGATCAGCTTTAAAAAGCTTTGCAGCTGAAACTCCCCTCCCTGATTGTCATGTAAAGATTCAAGATTTGGGCCAGATAAGAAAGCTTGAACTCTTACCAACATTTTATTATCAACAAAGACAGACGGCAACAAGAAACAAAATTTCCACCGGAGTGTGTCAGAGATCGGTGCTAAATAGAGCCCCATTGTATTACCAGAACAGAGACCCGAGTCGACATGAAAACCATGTAACAACTGACTTTCACCTCCTTTTGGACCTCCTTTTATAGCTCTGTTTCTTGGCTTCACATCATCTCTTGGCTCTCTTTCCTACTGCACCTGGATCTGGGAAAGTCCCTGACTGCCCGCTCCTCCTCTCTGTGTCCTCTGCATGCCCTCCGCTTGATCATTTCATCCACAACCTGACTTTTGTGGAATAAACTGGTGTTGTTTGTGCTCCGTGTTAGAAACAGGACATTCTTACTGTGATGGGACTAGATTGATGTATGTCTTGTAATACAATTTTCACAAAATCTGCTTCTACATTTTCCTTTGCAAGTGTTTTTGATGCTATCATACTGTGTAAATTGTTTACATGTTGTAAAATCAATCATGCGGTGGGCTGTTTCTTTTGCTAACATATTTGAGCAAGTTATAATGACAAGGATTTCCATTACTCCTCTCTCCTTATTACCCTTTAAATGAGCATGAACATATTAAACTACCCATACGTGCTATAATATAGTGAGAGATACCTTGTAAATGGTTTACACTCGTGAAACAAAATGATATCTTTATGCAGTGAGCTGTTCTTTCCTTTTATACTTTAGCAAGCTAACAATTACACAGGGTGCATAGTGAACTTTCTGTGTAACAATACAGTAACCAGACATAACAATGTTTCGACAATCATTCATGCGACACTTCAGAATGGTTCAAAATGTCCGATAAACATGTATGATGTCTATTTTGAAAGTTGCCTGTTGTACTGTGGAACTCTTTTTGGCACTCAGGTTTCTTGGGTACCAATTTGAGGGCGCTCAGTCGTTTGTAGTTTCAGTCTTGTTCTTCCCTTTGCTGGTTCACTTGGACTCAAAGTTGTCTCTGTGGTGGTGCAGGTCGTGCTTGATCTTGCCTGCTGCTGCGTCTGCCTCACGAGGCCTCATAGGAGAGTGGCCTTTGACTGGCTGCGAAGAAGTATTTACCTTGCTTGCAACTGTATCTTACTATTACCAATAAGTGAGCTTTATCCTACTGTTTGTAGTTTGGAAACTTTCCTATCTGTGAGGAAAATATCTATCTTTTTCAACATGAGTTTGCTTCCTAGATGCTTGCAATTTAACCCTTCTAACGCCCTGTATATCTGTGTATTGAATTACATTGCTATTGGACGTACAAATAGTAAATCTTGAAATAAAACTCCATTGTTCATTAGTGCACTAAAATTCTTCCATACTTCAGACTACTTTACTAATAATACCTACAAAAACAGAAAGAAGACATAGATTAACTCAGGTGTTCAGCATCACACACGTGTCTCAGGTTATCATTACAGTTGCTTGGTTGTTCCTGTGGAATACATCACAAAGGTCAATCGTGATTTAAGACTCACAATCAAATTTAAGCATGCAGTAGCAATGTGCTGCTGAAATTGCTTTTATAAAGGCTTCAATGTGGCTTCTCCTTTCAGCCTCTTTAAAATCAAGCCTGAAAGGCTGCCTGTCATTGTATCTGCTACACTGAGGAGTTCTGCGCTGGCTGTTCCTCCCCCAGAGCAGAGCTGATCTCTAACAGCTTTACTATAAAATAATCCCACTGGATCCCCTTTTCCTAAATCTCTGTTTAAAACACAAGGAATGCCTGATGTTCTGATCCCTTTTTGCTGAAATTCAGTAACAGGTGGCTGATGGAGGAGAGTAGGACACCAAAGTTATTAACTCAGTATATTTGTGTTAATTAATCAATTACTAATGACATATCTATCTATTTTATAGATCCTGAGCTAACCTTATTCTTTCTGTCTTTTTTGGATTTAACATCAGTCCCTATTTTCTTTTTTTCTTCTCCTACAAATTATCAACACTCCTACTCCCAAACTCTTTCGAGGTCAGTCTTCAAACTGTTCTTTTTCAGCAAATGTTGCAGTTTTCAAGGCCTCGGACAGTCTTGGTGAGACAGAGAGCTCTTCCTTGGTGAAGTTTCTGTCAGCACTCGGTCACATGTGAGAGCATTTTTGGCTGTTCAGTTCATTTTCACTGTGAAGCGTTCTTGACCTTTTAAACTTCGTGCTGTTAGGTTCGCAGTCTTTAAGGTGGTGTTGTCCTCTTTATGATTCAACTGTAGATGGTAGGGGTGGTCTGACTGGCCGCGTCCTCAGCATTGGGAAGACGTTAACGTCAGCAGAGGTGGGCTTGGGCCTGTGATGCATCAGGTTGGCACGCCTCTCTGTGGAACGCCTCCTGCATCACTGCTCATTTCTGGCCCTCCCTCTCTTCCCCATAGTCAGATTCCACTGTGTCCATTTTGAAGCTGCTCTCTCACCTTCTTCCAGCATGAAACTTTAGAGCTGCCATCTTGTCCATTGTAGCTCTGTCTCGCTGTCGTCATGTCTCTTGGTTTGTTGTGCTTTGCAGGTGCCTTGGTCTGTACCCAGACTCATCTTCCTGCCATCAACTTTAAACTTCTTTGTTTGGGAGTTGTTGTTTTTTTCTATTCAAGTCTAGCGCTCGTCTCCTCCCTATCCAATATAGCCTCTCTTTTTCCATCTCTCCTTTTTATCTTAACTCAACCCTTTTAAGACCCTAATTCTTCTTCTTTCTCTGCCTGTACTGGCCCTTAAATGCACTTACTTATCTTCCTTCCACTTGCTGTGTACGTTTCTTCGTGTGGGGGCATATCTATTTAGACCTTATCTAACAGGATCATTATTCCATCTGTGACTACTTTTTCCCCACTAAAGGCTATATCGTATGTCAGTATTATCTACCTGTTGGTCAAACTGTTTCTCCATGTCTTATCTGACAGCTTTTATTTTATCTTTAACTACTTACTCGTGTTTTTACCACATGTTGCTGCCACAGCTCCCTCCTTTGCAGTTAATTTACATTTAGCTGACGCTTTTATCCAAAGCGACTTTCAATTGCTATACATGTCAGACGTCGCACGCCTCTGGAGCAACTAGAGGTTTAGTGTCTTGCTCAGGGACACAATGGTGGATGTCTTGCAGTGGGTCTCCCACACCAAAGGCAAGCATCTTATCTATGCGCCACCACCACCCCGCATTTCTCTTTTTGAGCTCTTTACCCTTTAATTTCACCTGCTGTGTTCCTCCCAGGACAGCCTATCGCACACTCGCTGCGAGCAAACACTTACTCTCTGGAAACTTTAGAATTTGGACGGCCTTGACACCTCGAAAAAGAAGACAGTTTGCTTCTTCCTGAAAGAGGAGGAGACCAAACGGGGCTGGCCGAGTAGACACACAGGAGTTGTCACATAGTTTACTGATGTATCCAGTTATAGTTACAGTTTTGAGGCTCCATAGAAAAACAAAAAAAGCTATGTGAATGGAAAAAAAACGTGTTCAGTGATGTTTGCTCAAGAAAGTAAAAATTAAAAGAATAAAGCATTAATAAAACATCAATAGACGGCTTTGTGTTAAAGGATGCAGGTGAAAAACATGATGTTCTGATGATAGTTAGGAATCTGCTTTGCTTTACAGGAAGTTGATATTGGACTTGCAGCGGATGTTGGAACGCTCCAGAGACTTCCAAAAGTCATCGGCAGCCGCAGGTAAACAGACCATTTTATTAATAAAGAACAGAGTCTGGGGATGAGGTCATCTTTTACTTACTGTTAGTTACAGGCCACATGTAGGAACACGTGTGATGTAATGTGTTTGTGTGTAAAGCATTTAAAATGACAGAAATCTTCATTAATAAGCCAAAAATCAATATTGATTTCTCAATGACGACCATGGAAACAACAAAGCTTTGTGTTGTAGGTTGCCATACACACACACACACACACACACACACACACACACACACACACACACACACACACACACACACACACACACACACACACACTGTTCAAGCATATCTTCATTTAGGCACAAGTTGGAAAATATTTTTTTTGGCATGTGCTTGAAAGTGTTAAATGTCTCACAGCCATAAACTTTATATTAGTGTGGGATGAGCTTCCAAAAAACAGAACTACAGAGCAGCTTCTCAAAGTTCAACCCAAAAAGAAACCTACAAAAAGTTTTTGTGCTGAACACTAAGTATCAATAACCTGAATCAGACAGATCCATTCAACAAACCCCAAAACAGACTGAACAGTTACAGCTCAACATTTTCCCCCCAGCTCTTTTTCCTTTCTTCTGACATGTTATAAAGTCCGTGGGAGTTTTATGGTTAACAAACCCTCCAACTGTACATGTTTCACGTGTAATAGTCCTGCACTGTTCAACACTCACCTCCTGTCAATTCTTATTAGGCTAATAATGTGACCAGACAGACTAAAACTGTATGAATCAGGAAGATTATACATTCAGATAAACAAAAACAGTTTACAGTAACTGCTGAGATTTCAAAGAGCTGGTGGGAAGACAACATACAAAATTTACACCTATTAAGCTACAAATTCACTACTTTTAGATTCTTATGGCTTTAAAGTTACATGTTTAAAACCCTTTCAATGTATGCAATAAAGTTAATTTTGTTATGTGATTAACTTCCCCCATTTTCTACAGTTTAGTGAATGAGTTGGCTCTGACCGCCAGGAAGATGTACGCGGATGAAGCCAAGAGCAGCGGACTGGTCAGGTACTTCTATATTAGTGGTTTCTTTTATTAAATAGTATTGTGTTCACTGAACATTTGTTTGATTTTTAGGATTAGTCTGATATTGTCAGGATCATTTAGGTTTTTTGATGTTATGAAGCAGGCTCATGTTTAACTAGGGTAGATGACCATGATAATCTGGTTATGCAGGATCACCAGACTGTTCTGTGTTTGAGAACAAACCTGTTTGTTCTGCCAGCAGGTGGCGTTGTTGCATAATGGTGCTAGATCAGCTTAAAAGTCATTAATGCACAAATAATTTATTTCCTCAGTGTTACAGATACTGTAGATTTAACATCTGGATTTAATTAAGACGCCAGTCTGTTAGGGATGGATTCAACCAAATTCAAACTTCAATTTCAAAGAGCAACTATCACTTTAAGTAATTGGTCTCTTACTTGGAAACGCTCCCCTACAGCCGAGTGTTTGCAGATAAAGAGGCCATGATGGCAGGAGCTCTAGAGATGGCGGGGGAGATCGCTGGTCGCAGCCCTGTAGCTGTGCAGGGAACCAAAATAAACCTCATCTATTCCAGAGACCACAGTGTAGCAGAGGGGCTGAACTACATGGTAAGAACATCTACTACAACAATGATGGAGGGTTTCTTTTAACTTTAATCGTTTTTTTAAATGCAGTTAACACTTGATTCCATCACAACCTTGTTTATCCTTTTCCAGGCTACCTGGAACATGAGCATGCTTCAGACTCAAGATTTGATGAAATCAGCTCAGGCGGCCATGGAGAAGAAGAGCCCAAAGACGATAGCTTTCTCAAAACTCTAAAACTCACTGAGGCCAATTCAGATTTAACAAAAGCTGCCTTCATTATGGCCTTATTGTGGGAAAGGGAAACATGATGAACATGATTCTTTATCTAGAATTTGTGGCACTTTGAGGATGAGGTAACGAGACAGACGGAGGCTTGAAACCGCTTACGAAATATTGAGGCTTTTGCTTTTTGGAGTTTGTTTCCAAGTTCTGTCTTATTGTTTGGTTTACACCTATACTATCCTGTTATCAAAATGCCAACAGGATACTATACTTCCACCCTCATTGATACTTAAGAATCAACATTGGATCATTAAATTAAGTGTGAGTGAACTTCACACTTCAGCAGGAATGTGCACTTGAAACAGGATCTAAAGCTAAACTGACCATGTGGAACATCTTGTGTACAGCTGTGGATTTGTTTTTCAGTTCGTGCTTAACAGCTAGTTTTGTATATCTGTAAATTAATTCATGAATGTTTCTCATTAAAGAAATTAAAGTTAGCGTTGACCGATTTGAAAATGTCTAACCCATTAATTGCAAACAGTTTTGCAACAGAAGTTCTATGATTCAGTCTGCAAAACTTGAGTACAAGAAGTAGATTATAAAATGCTTTATTGGTAAAAACTTTACAAAATAAATTAAATATATAAAAGTAACATTCAATGTTAATCACTATTGATTCTGCTTGGCACGAAGCTTCTGTAAGGTTTTCTGTAGAGAGAGAGAGAGAGAGAGAGAGAGATTTTTATTTTTTAAACGTTTGGTGCCCGCAGTTCTTCAATTAGCATATTGTCTTTAAAAACTTCTCAGACACTCATTGTTTTACCTTGTGGAACTCCTTGGCCTTCAGTCGGTTTTTTGCATAAACTTCCTGTCTACTCCTGATTGCTTTCTGATGCTTCACCTCCTCCAGCTGCTCATACAGTCTGCAGAAGCACATGTTTTAGATTTAAAACAAATGACTCTTCTTAATCTGTGGCTGAAAAACATTCAGAGCCACCTCTGCTTTGGTGTATACTAATACAGATAAACATTTACAGTGTACATGTTAAAAAAAAAATAGTTTTAGTAGTACCTCTGAGTTCTCTGGTGCATCTTGGAAACATCTTGTTTCCTTTGCTCAGTTGTGCAGATCTTCACCTCATCCACTTTTGTCAGCCTGGAATCACTCACTGAGGGGACAAAGAACATTTGTTACGCAGATTGTTGCAGTAGGTTAATGCCTCTGCTACAGTTGTTGACAACTTTACAAGGCACTGACTTATGGATTACGTGTAGAGGAGGCTTAAGTTCTTATTTTGCTCAAGACAGAAATAACAAAGAGCCAATAGTGTGTCATGGCAGTGAAAGTATTGGCATCCTAAATCGAGCGCACCGTTTACAACTTTGACATTTTGGGGTAGGCATTCTTAGAAAGCACAGTACAGATAAATAATTGATTTCAGATTAATAGTTAAATATCATTATGCTGCACTTAACAAAAGCAAAACCAGAGTTGTATAGTTCCTCTTTGTTGAAGTTATCTCTCAATACATCGTGACCTGAACTTTATCCTCATTAACTTTGCAGTAATAGTAGAACAGGGTCTAATACACAGCTCCGAGTGGCTGATTGTCTATTTAGTACATAATCTATTTTTCTGACCGGTTGTTTATTCACACTTTCAGTGGGTATAAATACAAATGTAGTGCTCGTGTTACTTTAAGTGTCCAATAGTGTAAAGTTGAGATACCTGGAGGAGGAAGCTGGGGCCTCTTCTGCTTGATGAAGCCAGATTTCTCCGTTTGATGCTGCTCAGCCTGTTCTCCCTTTGACTTGGTATTAGTTTTGTGTTGGTGGTCCGACTTAGTCTTTGACTTACAGGTAACTGATTTGGAGTCCTTAGTTTTAGACTGCTCTCTGGCTTTAGATGGGGCTTGGATCTCAGGTTGAGTCTTGGCAAGACCCCGTTTGGCCTTGATTTCCTCCACCCTTTGGGATGATCTCTGGAGCAAAGCTCTGCGCTTCTGCTGGCAGACCTCCTCCAGGCCTCCACTGGGACCCCACTGAAACTCCAGGAGTGTCACTGAATGTAGGGAAGGAAAGACTGGAAGGCTCATTCAAAGATTTGAGATGTGTTTAATTAGTTTGAGTAGTGTTTCTTTTTTGTTGCTGATCACATCCATATTTAAATCTGAAGCAGCAATCTCGCCCATGCAGCACTCCTAACGTTATATTTCAGCTAGATATACAGGGGTTGGACAATGAAACTGAGACGCCTCTCATTTTAGTGTGGGAGGTTTCATGGCTAAATTGGACCAGCCTGGTGGCCAATCTCCATTAATTGCACATTGAACCAATAAGAGCAGACTGTGAAGGTCCAATTAGCAGGGTAAGGGTATATTGCAATGCACACAACATTATGGGTGACATACCAGAGTTCAAAAGAGGACAAATTGTTGGTGCACGTCTTGCTGGCGCATCTGTGACCAAGACAGCAAGTCTTTGTGATGTATCAAGAGCCACGGTATCCAGGGTAATGTCAGCATACCACCAAGAAGGACGAACCACATCCAACAGGATTAACTGTGGACGCAAGAGGAAGCTGTCTGAAAGGGATGTTCGGGTGCTAACCCGGATTGTATCCAAAAAACATAAAACCACGGCTGCCCAAATCATGGCAGAATTAAATGTGCACCTCAACTCTCCTGTTTCCACCAAAACTGTCCGTCGGGAGCTCCACAGGGTCAATATACACGGCCGGGCTGCTATAGCCAAACCTTTGGTCACTCGTGCCAATGCCAAACGTCGGTTTCAATGGTGCAAGGAGCGCAAATCTTGGGATGTGGACAATGTGAAACGTATTGTTCTCTGATGAGTCCGCCTTTACTGTTTTCCCCACATCCGGGAGAGTTACGGTGTGGAGAAGCCCCAAAGAAGCGTACCACCCAGACTGTTGCATGCCCAGAGTGAAGCATGGGGGTGGATCAGTGATGGTTTGGGCTGCCATATCATGGCATTCCCTTGGCCCCATACTTGTGCTCGTGCTAGATGGGCGCGTCACTGCCAAGGACTACCGAACCATTCTGGAGGACCATGTGCATCCAATGGTTCAAACATTGTATCCTGAAGGAGGTGCCGTGTATCAGGATGACAATGCACCAATACACACAGCAAGACTGGTGAAAGATTGGTTTGATGAACATGAAAGTGAAGTTGAACATCTCCCATGGCCTGCACAGTCACCAGATCTAAATATTATTGAGCCACTTTGGGGTGTTTTGGAGGAGCGAGTCAGGAAACATTTTCCTCCACCAGCATCACGTCGTGACCTGGCCACTATCCTGCAAGAAGAATGGCTTAAAATCCCTCTGACCACTGTGCAGGACTTGTATGTCATTCCCAAGACGAATTGACGCTGTATTGGCCGCAAAAGGAGGCCCTACTCCATACTAATAAATTATTGTGGTCTAAAACCAGGTGTTTCAGTTTCATTGTCCAATCCCTGTATTTAGTCTGCAGCAGATGTGATGTTACCTGGTTGCGTTTGGTTCTTGTCCTCCGGAGTCTCATCAGGTAACGTGGATTCTGACCCCTATAGAAGACAAGGTTTGGGTTCAGAGATCAGAAAGACACCTGCTGCTGAAACCAAGTCAACAGGTATCAACCATTAGTGGATTTTGGATGACATTTTCATAACCGTACAGTCACCTCTGTCTCTTGGCCTTTCTGTCCTTCCTCATCAGTGATGGTCTCTTGGTCCTGCAATGTGGTATCGGTCAGACTCACCAGTGTTATCTCTGACTGCTCCAGGATTCCCTTCTCACTGGCAGCTTCCTGATAACAGGGAGAAATGACTAGTGCACAACTCAGCCAGTGACATAACACACAAGATATAAAAGTAAAAAAAAAAGAAATAGGAGGCATGACCAAACTACGTAGTGTTGCCTTATTTAGCACCTCAACGGTCAGACATGATGCTTTTTCAAAGTTTATCAAGGTGAACAAAACACGTGATCGTACCAATATCTTCTCTGAGACAGGAATTGCATTTGTCAGGTTTGAACCCTGCCCAGACTTCAGTTCTCTATCACAGAGACCGCTGGATGGGACTGCATCTCCTTGTCTTCTAGAAATGCAGCTTCTATCTGCACCCACTCCATCTGGCTGCGGCACGCTCATAGTAGGTGCATCACACAAGGTTAAAGCTGACAGACTCAGAGCTGTTAGCTCCACAACAGATTCATGGATATTGTGCTGGGAGGTGATGAGCTGGGAGAAAGATTCATGTAAGGCAGGGGAAGCGTTCAAGCAGCTGGAAGGATGCTCTGTTCTAAGGCGCTCAGGAGACTGTTCAGACTCAACAGAAGAATCATCGTGGGTCTCAAACTCTTCAGAAGGTGTGGAAACACTGCGTTCCCCGTTGGCTGGCTGTCCTTCAGGAGACGGAGGCACGTCGTGATCTGGCAGGTGAAATATCATGGAGGGTTCTGCTGTTTCATTATGAGTGACCTCAGCCAGTAGTGGGTGGAATGAGTCTGAACCTGGAAACACTGAAAATGGGAATAAACATGCACATAACGCACAGTTAAGGTTAGAAGAAAAAGAAAGTGTAAGAAATAAACATGCAAATACAAGATAGAAGACTTAAACATAAGTGGTTCCCCAAGTTAAACTTTCTCTTGAGCTACAAACAGACTGTAGAAAGTAGATTTGTCACTCACATTACAGCAAGGAAAGTGAAATTAAGTTTGTAACTCCCTTCTGCTCTGTAGATATACATATTGTGCATGATGAGAATATACCCCTCTGATTTAACCAGCATAATGTCTTGGGTTATTTTGAAATTGGCTGTAATTACCTGAACATTTAACACCTCACCTTCAGTCCTCTCCGGGTCCAGGTCCATTGGACTGGTTTGGTTCTGCAGTGTCTGGTCCTGTGGATGTGGATTCACACCCGAGGCACTGTGCGACGAGGCTTCAGGAGGCAACACTGGGTATGACGGCACACTGGCCTCAGTTGAGACACCAAGATCCACATGGGTCCTTTCATCTACAAACCGTAGATGAGTTGATGTTAAACTTTCAGAAAGTTGATAGATTTCTTTCAATAATATCACAGAGTACGGTCTAGACCTGCTCTTTTATTTATATAGCGCCAAATCACAACAATAATCTCAAATTGAATGAGCATGTCAAACCTGACCATAGTGGACATGTGAGACAACTGAGAGAAGTCATTACATATGTTGATATAAACTGGCAGTGCAGGCAATGTTACTGCAGTAGCTCAGGGCAAATCATTTTATCACAATTTGAATTCAGCTGTACTAATTGCATACTGAGCTACGTGATATGAGGATTCACTGTCATTTGATGAATTAATTTCCATGTATCAATTAATTGTGTAACAACACTGACAACTGGTCATTGTCAATCTTATAGTCCACTAATAATTTGAAACCGTAGTGCACATTTCAGTTACCCCATACAATCCAATTTACCTGAGCTTCCACTGTGCTGGCCAGCAGACTCGTCCAGCTCCCCAACCAGTGGTCTCATCCGGCTCTCCTCCCGACTTCCATCCAGCCATGTGGTCGACTGCTCTGACGCCATCTGACCCATCAGCTGGCCTGCATAAAAGTCCTGCCCACCACTCAGCCAATGAGAGCTGGACTGATGGGAGAGTCGACCAATCATCCGACTCAGAGTGGAGTCCCATCCAGCTTGATCCAAGCTCACCGAAACCGGCGGACCTGGTTGCTGACCAATCATGGACGACTGAGCTGATGGATGACCGACCAGTTGTTCCATGGCCGAGTCCCTGTGATCGGCAGCGAGACAGGATGACTGATCCATCAGCTGACCAATCAGAGGTCTGAAAGAGTCCTGCTCTTGGTCCTCAGCCAGTGAAGGGTCCTCGCATGGGATGCGCTCCAAATTTGTATTCACTGTACTGTCCCATTCCTATAGCAAAACAAATAAACTGAAGGCTGGTATTTTCCAGGAAAAAAAAATCTTAGAACTGACGAATGTAAGTTATAACCTGTAGGTTTATTTCTTTCTTCCTGTAAATATACTCAGCACAAACTGAAACGTCCTCTCACTTACAACTGCTTTTCATTTTCAGTGTAAATGCATATACAAGTAAATATTTGTATGAACATAAAAAGATTAATCAACTAAGACATAAACTGAACAAAGTTTCACAGAAATGTTAGTAACTGAAATGATATTGCAGTTTATTGCCCTGGCAACACCGGCAGTCCTACTGCCCCCTTGCAGCATACCTGAGGCATGTTCACGCAAATATGAAGGGACCCTGGGCATCTGTCTGAGTCAGTAGAGAGGTCTCTTTAGTGTTCTAAGTTTCTATTTCTGTGACCTTAATTGCCTACCGTCTGCACGTTCCACAGGTGCACGTTCATCAATTGTTTATGGTTCATTAAACAAGCACGGAAGACACCCTTTTACAATAAAGAGCTGTGAAGTTACTCGGATTTTTACAGAATTATCTTTAAAATACAGTGTCCTGAAAAAGGGACGTTTCTTTTTTTGCTGAGTTTAGTTCTTGGGACATTGTAACATTCAACTGGAGTCACATTCCTTGTATGTGTACACATACTTGGCCACTAAAGCGGATTCTGAAGTGTGAAATAAAATGGAAAATACACCAGAGAAACTGCGTCAAACTGTTCAGAGCTGCCAGCTCAAGTAACATGATCGACTCAATCAGCAAGCCATATACTGTACAGTTTATAATTCCTTTAAGTACAAGTTTGTTGTTAACTTAATATTTTCTCAAGTGGCCACTGCAGTGTTACAAGGTAAAACATTGTGGTTTGTGAGGCACTGACCAGGCTCCTCCTCTGTGCTCCTGCTGCGTCTGAGGGAAGAGAATGACGATCAGTAGAGCCTTCATCCTCCTCTCCCTCCTCTGCAACTCGAACCAAAGACTGCTGAGAAACTAAAGAGTCATGTTCCTCCACATATGAGCCTTCAGTGTCTGCAGATAAACAAGAAACTTTATGAAGATATTCTGGTAGTACGGCTAATAACATCCATTTCACACAGCGATTTGCCAGGTGTGAAAAGGACATGTAGTACAAACTTCCAACGCTGAACTTGTACTCTCTCACTTGCCAATGTGTTTAAAAGCATGGCAGCAAAGTAATGCCAGGGCACAGATGTGACGACTGCTATCAATCTGCCAAATAAAAGAGAGAGGGGGTATTCTTGGTATAAATGTGTGCAGTATGTGTAACATACCTGTGGTTTTCCCAGTGGTGCTGAGGGAGATGTTAAGCTCCCTTGTGTATCGGTCTATAATGCGCTGGATGCTGCTGTCATTAAATACAGAGTCTACAGCCGAACCATCATTAATACAGACGCTTTGACCAGATGGAGAGGAGTCGTTGAGTAAACCTGCTCCTCGTCCTTGTTCTGCACGTCTGAGGGGCGGGGATTTATCTAATGAAGAGGTGGGTAAAGACAGGAGAGCAGATTTAGGGTATAACAAAAGTTACACACACAACTAGCACGCTGCCTAGAGTATATAAAGTGTAGGTCCCATGTACTGTACCTCATATTGTCCCCTTTAAGATGCACAGACATAACAAACCACATTAATATACAGCAGCAGCCAACAGGTCCAACTGCCTGCAGAACTGAAGCATATTCCAACAGGTCCCATAGTAATGTTTACAATTAAAAAAGGGTACAGAGTCAGATTCTCTATTAAATGTTGGTAAATGATCTAAATACTTCAGTTCCATCTGTAAAAGCTGCACAGGATACTTTTCTGATGTTTTTTGTATTGCTGGAATGCACAAAATTCACAGCGCATATCAACCACATGGTCAAAATCAGGAACAAGACGCTTCTGCTGTCCCTCACCAGTGTTTAAGTTTTGCTCCGGATCGGTGGTGATGTAGCTGCCGGTGGAGATGGTGGTGGAGGAGAGGCAGTCAGAATCAGGAGGCCTATGTACAGACTGACACACATGAAGAGTGGAGATAGACAAAACTGGAGTGATTCAAATTTCTTCAAAACATTTTAAGACGCATTCTATTTTTTTGTCATTTTAATTTTCAGCAGTCTTCTTTTTCTAAATTAATCATGCTATTGCCTACCCTCATGAAATGTATTTAAATTAAATACAGTTCAGGTCCAGTAATTTTACTTCATTGCTCAGTATACAGAACACACACACACACACACACACACACACACACACTTAAAGGACAGTCAGACTCCCTGAGCTCAGTTCAAGTGTAGAATCCCTCATGAAATGTATTTAGATTAAATACACTTCAGGTAAAGTAATTTCACATCATCGCTCAGTTTACAGACACAAACATACACACACACACACACACACACACTCCATACAGACAGAAAAAGCTTCTCTGGCATAATCATAGGCTGAGGCAGATAATGCTCAGATTTGGCTAATTTTCATCATTGATCCACAACATGTGAATCTCAGAGTATTAAAATGCAGAAGACGCTGTGCCATTATGCAATGAAATGCATGTGTTTGTACAGAACGATGTTAACACGTGGGCACAATTACTAAAATTGGAACTGCATAGGATAAATCACAAGTTATAGTTGTACATCTTCAGCTGGCATCGGTTACCTCTGTGGGGGATCTGTAGCTTGTGATTCCAGGACCGGAGTAATCTGCTCCTCTCCCAGAGTCGGAGGAAAGCGGTGAGAATATTCTCAGGACTGAATCTGGAAAACAAAGTTCCAACCAAGTGGAAATTTCTTAATTTTCAATCTATTATTTTCTAATCAAATACAACCATTTTCTCACATTTGTATTCCTCATCTCACCACTCTTCACCAACCCTCTACATACCAGACTCTGAGGATTCTGGAGAGGTTCCTGCCCCCATCAACAGCCTCTCTCTCCAGATGAGATGGTTGGATCTCGTTGAGCTCGCCCCAGAGCTGGTTGTCCTTTCAGCAGTCTGCTGCCCACTGCTGGACCAAGAGGGTGTCTGCAGAGTCCTGTCAGAGGACACAGATGATTCCGATTCCTCCTGCAGATCCCATGCAACACTGTGTGAAGGAACCATCACACTCTCCTCTGGGCCTGGAGATAGGAAACGCCAACAATCCAGTCAACTGATATTCCTCTCCATAGCTAGTTTGGGCATGTAATAAAACGGTCCGTTATTCATGTGTTTCTGGGACTAAGCTGACCTGCAACTTGGCTGGTGTTGACCGGCGTCTCCACTTCTTGAATAGCACTGAGCTCATGTTGTTCAGTCATCATCTCCGGGATGCCGAGCCTGACGCGAGTCACCGGGGGCTTTGCTGCTCGAGGATGGAGGTGGTGTCCTGAAGGAGGGACCGACTCTGGGGCAGGTCGAGCAGGAACGTTGCTCTGAGAAATGGGATCTTATGGAAAATTAAATAAAAGTTCAGATTTTAATGAAACTGCAGTGATTTATAGTGCCTTTAATTCCCAGTGATAGGGATATTGATGCATAACACTAATTAAAAACTACAGTAATGCCTTCTAATGCCACTAGATAATTAAAACAACATGTTTTATAAGTTGGAGTTTAAATGTGTAAATTCATCCAATTAACGAAACAACATGGCACTTCAGATCAGCAGGATATTTTCACAAGATCACAAATAGAAAAAGGGTAATTTAGTAAGAAAACAATTTTCCAAAATTATGAAACTGTCTCAAAGATGAAAAAAAGTAAAATAAACCAAACTATCTAACGTGTTACTTACCCATGTCACCACTGTTAGATGGCGGCTGTTGAGGGGAGCCATCTTTCTCCTGGGGGTCTTCTAGGTGCGATAAAGTTCCTCCATTAGTCTCCTCTATTGCCCTCAGCAGAGACGCAAGTAATTTGAGGCGGATCTGACCGATGTTCTCTGAAACCAACACTTCACTGGCAGCCTCTGTAACTGGCTGTGGATGACAAATACATCAAGAAAGTTGTTTTCATGTCTTGTAATTCTGCCACAATATTCAAAAAGGGCAATTCAGCAGAGTTGCGTCACAAAATGAGGAGACCACAAACATTTCAGCTTGGGATGGGGGTCTCTCCACTAATTACTTCATACTGTCGTTTCTCCAGAATCAGGAGGCCTATGTACAGACCGACATACATGCCATAAAAAGGAGATATACAAACTGAAGTGATTTAAATCAACTCATTTTAAAGAGACATATTTTAAATGTTCAGCAGTCTAGACAGTCACACTTTTTCCTTTTAGTAAAGCAGTTTATCTGTAGTGAAATGACTTAAATTTGTATTCAGTATATGAATATAATATTAATTTATACAGACTCACTGAGCTCAGTTCAAGTGTAGAAACCCTCATAAAATGTATATAGATTAAATACAGTTCAGGTCCAGTGATTTCACATCATTGCTCAGAATACAGAAACAAACCTTTCCACACAAAGACATACTCAGAATTACACTTTTATATGCACATTCACTCCATATGGACAGACAGGCAGGCAACCCCCCCCCCCCCACACACACACACACACCCACCCACACTACACAGAATTACACTGTTAAATACTCACTCCACACAGACAGCGTGCGCACACACACAGTCATTAAAGGAGAGTCAGACTCCCTGAGCTCAGTTCAAGTGTAGAAACCCTCATAGTGTATTTAGATTAAATACAGTTCAGGTTTAGTAATTTCACATCATTGCTCAGTATTCAGAAAATAAAATCTGTGCACCCATTACTTTGTTCTGCTGTTTTATCTTAGATTTACAAACAAACTACGATTTGTCTACTGTAACAGACACCAAGGCAGTCCCCTCACTTACTTGCGCATCAGTATGAATCAGAGCCTGCAGCGTCTCTTTTTGCTGTCTCATCTGCTCCATCTCCACCTCCTGTCTTTGCCTCTCCTCTGCCTGCTGCCTCAGCGCCTCCCTCTGCTCCTGCAGCTCTCGTCTCTGCCTCTCCTCTGCCTGCTGCCTCAAGTGCAGTGCCTCCCTCCTCCTGCTCGTCTCACTCGTCTCTGGACTTCCTGCAGCTCTCGTCTCTGGACTTCCTGCAGCTCTCGTCTCTGGACTTCCTGCAGCTCTCGTCTCTGGACTTCCTGCAGCTCTCGTCTCTGGACTTCCTGCAGCTCTCGTCTCTGGACTTCCTGCAGCTCTCGTCTCTGCTCTCTCTCTCTGCCTGCTGCCTCAAGTGCAGTGCCTCCCTCTGTTCCTGCACTCGTCTCTGGACTTCCTGCAGCTCTCGTCTCTGGACTTCCATGTCGTCCTCTCTGGAGCTTAAGGATCCAGTTTGCAGGGAGCCGTGCAGCAAGGTCCCAGGCTTAACAGGTGCATGTTGTGGAACCAGAGGTGCATCATGTTTGATGCTCGGGCTAACGGCTTGGATAGAATTGGAGGTTGGCTGGAGAGGGATGCTGGTTGAGTGATGTGTTGTAAAGTGTTTGTAAGGCAGTCGCTGTGTATTGACCGAAGTGAGTCTCGCTCTCTCTGGAAGGTGCTCTGTTACTCTCTCCATTATTTTGTCAGTCAACCAGGTGGTGGCAGCTGGTCTCTGCTCCCTGGAACTGTTCGAAATAGATTGTACTTCATCCGGCGGCAAATTGAAGCCAACAATCAAACTGGAGCCAGCAAGACTGGGAAGTGAGGACAACATGTCAGACTCTCTTGTGGGAACTTCCACAGAGGTTTTTGGTTTGGCATGGGTGAATGCCGGCACTGCACGACTTGTATGGAGTTGCAGAGGAGTTGGAAGATGCGCAGACTGAGCACTTTGCAGAGACGGGTGAATGAGGCCTGGAGGCACGACAGTGGGCAGTAACGATGTGGCGGTGATGTTGTAACGAATTTGTAGAGCTCGCTGGTATTCTTCCAGGCGTTGGCGAGCAACTTCTACTGACCTCTGGTGAATTCTAAAATAAAATAAAAAGGTCAGTTCAATTTTATTCATACAGCCAAATATCACAAATGTTCCTCAAGTAAAAGTATCCTTTCCAGCATTCGACACCCTCTATCCTAAAACCTAAAAGTAACATTATATATGATGGTTGAATTGTTGTGTCATCTGCTCAGAATAACTGCATGTTAAAGTGGTGAAAGTGACTGGATAATCAAGTCAAGTTTGTCTTCAGGCTTTAGAAACACACCTGTTTTGTTCCAGCAGCCGCTGTTGGTATTCTTTAATCCTTCTGGTATGTTCATCTTTACCTGCAGGAGGCAACAGCTGTAGAGTGCAGGAGGAGGAGGTAAGAATTAATCAAGACTGAAGCAACTGTAATATGTTGACACACTAAATAGGATATCTTAAAAGATACCTGCAAACATTAGAGTTTAACCGGACTATTGAGAATGGCATATACTATAATTTGGACTGCATAAAATTGCAGCCTTAAACATCTGTTATCAAGCAGGCACAGATTATTAACTCAGAATAATACATCAAATAATTGTGAGTTGCCATTTAAGACAATATGAGAGGGGCCTACCTCAGTGGCTAGACCAGGGGGAACAGCGGTGACTTCCCGGTCATGGACAGTTACCTCCGTTTGGTTAATAGGTACTTCCTGGGTCACTGCAGCCTTCAGATGTTCTCTCTCCTGCTGGGCCTCAATCAGCATCTGCTCTAATTTGGCCTTCTGCTCTTCTAGTTCCTGGAGCAACACCACCTGCTGCTGCTTCTCCCTCTCAAGCTCCTCTTCCTGGAATAAATAGGTTTGAAAACAGTGTCTGTTGCCAAACTTCAAACACACCTTACCTATAAGGTTGATCATAAAGCCAGTTTTCAGCTAAGCGTCAATATTGACCGTATATATTGAATGTGAGGTAGAGGAAAAAAAATAACCTTTGAGGGATCATTTGTTTTAAAGATAATGCAAGTTGAGACTTTGCAGTTTGAAAAATAAGAGCCCACATAATACAATCTGTCTAATCCCTGGACCAAGGCAAGCAGGTACTTCTCAGTCTGCACCTCTTCCTCCTGTGAAATGCAGTCCTCAGAGGATTTCCTCTCACTGCAGCCCTGAGTGTGGCTCCTGTGTTCATCTCCATTCAGCCTGCATTATGCTCAGCTTTACTTTAAATGTCGCCCCCAGAACAGGGAATCAAGCTCAGAAGTCTCTTCTGAAAATTTGACTTCCCAGCCCAACACACTCCTGCTTTAGATAGAGGCTGGACTAATTAAGTAATGACAAACACCTGGATCAATACATTTTGACCAATCACAAAAAACTCTTTAACTCTACAATGAATACTGATTAAGGGGATTTTAAAATTCGGTTTAGGGCTTTTGTGAACAGGTTTAGCTAA